GACGTGATCAGTTCACGTCCCTTGCTGACCACTCCCAGCTGGAGGTGCAAGGTGTCCCTTTTAGGAGTGCTTGGGTAGTTTTGCTGCAGTTCAGTCCATTGTCAAAGCCATGTACTAAACCTGTGCTGCAGTAACCAACCCTGCATTCCAGTCTCTCTTCCTTGATATCCTTGCAACAGCAGCCTTGTCAGCTCAGAATGTAGACACTCTTTCTCCAAAAAGCCGTTCTGTTCCCTCTGGGCACTCAGCAGCACAAGGCTCAGAGCAACATGCTCTGGAGTCAGGCTGATTCTTGGTGAAAATGTGTCCCCCCAGCAGTGGCAATCCTGAACTTTCTACCCTCAGGGCAGGGAACTGACACCATCAGCCTTCCCTTGCAGATTTATTACCAAATCTCAGCCCTTGGAGCCTCTCCCTGACGCTGCAGGAACCAGCTCAGAGCCAGCCAGGAATAGTCCCTCCCCCAATTAAATCCCGTTGTTTACTGTGTCATTACCTATGGAGAAACTCCTACCAGGTAGTCAGTGCCAAGGCACAGATCTCTGGGAAAAGTGCTAATTGGGGGGGGAGCATCGTTAGGCCTCTGAGGGAAGAAGAAATGGGAAGGAGAAAGGAATCCCAGTGTGCTTACTGTCAGCACCTCTGCGGGCAGCCTCATGGAACGCCTTTCAAGTACTCCAGGAAAAGCTGTTCTGGTTAAACCAGAGATGGAAGTTGTGTTTTTCAGTCATATACACCTCACATACAGAGAGAGGAGATGCTGCCCCTCCATCAGCAGGGATTTTTCCGGGAGAAGAAAAACCCCGGGCTCAGGTACAGAGACACATGTACAGTACTGATGGATGAGCCCCAGGACAACACGACTCTGTCTGCAACACTGAAATCCCTGTGTCAAGCACTGTCCTACCAGTGATTATAGGTCTGTTGGACAGCAAGGAATAACTAATCTTTTTAATTAAAATAACAAAGATTAAATCCCCTTTCACGGCCACACACACTTTGATTAAGTGGAATCCCTTTCTTGGCAATGAGAGAAACTACTGGTGGTGAATTAAATCACCCTCTTCCAAGCAACTGCCTAGATTTTGGTATAAGCAAATGATGTTTTACACACTTAATGAGTATATTTACTATCTAATTAAAGCATTTTTCTGATCTCTAAAAAAAATAAAATAGTTCTTTGACTATTCATTAGTTGTTACAAATTATTGCAAAGTCCCAGCTGAGAGGTACCAAGCACTGTCTGTGTGGTGCAGCTCAACAGCCTTTGCAAAACCATTCAGTGCTAATTATAACACAAAATGGTAAATGGAAAATAGAATAGAGGCGAGACAGCTTAGCAAGACTAGATGGTTGCTTAATGAGATACAATCTTGCTGTCTGATTGTCTTGACAAAGAAAATGTGGGTCTGTTACGGTGCTACACAGGAAATCCTCAAAAAACTTAGAGAAGAAAAACAAAAGAGGACTGAACAGAGCAGGAGAAGAAGGACCATAAAGTGGGCAAGGACACTGAGCTGGGGGAGATGCTGGAGATGCCTGAGCTGGAGAAAGGGATCTCGAGAGCTGATCAGGATCATTTTTAGTCAATATGTTCATTGGATTCTGGCTAAGACAGAAAGAAGGGGCTGGAAACAGCTGTGGTTGAAATACTGTACAATCTGATAACCTGCAGACCTAGGGTAACAGAGAGCAGACAAAAATCAAAGTTTCAAAGTGCCAAGTGAGAGTAAGAGATCAGCAGCAAAAAAGGGCCAATACACTCTGGGACCTTGTTAAAAAAAATAGCAGGAGAGGAGAGAATTGCAGGCATATCCATAGATCAGAGCTCAGTTAGGTGTCACTGCTGTGTTTGATAGTGGAAGAAGGCAAATGCATCCTCTGATGTAGCAGAAGTGTTTCTCAGAGAGCAGACATTAATGCCACAGTACAAAGCATCAGTTAGGCTTTACTGCAGGGGTAAAGCATCATCCTTGTTCAAGAGGGATTTATTCAGCCTTGAACAGGGGCTATAATGACACGAGGGAATCAATGAAAGGAAAAAACAGCATGTCAGGAAAGGACAGAGGAGGTTTGTTTGGATGCAAGAGGAGTTTGAGAGGGGATGCAGTTGTTCAACACGTGGAAGAAGAAACAGAGCTGTTGAAATGGCTCAGGAACAGTGTGGCAGGAGCAGGGCAGGGATTCTCCCCCTGGACTCAGCACTGGTGAGGCCACACCTGGAGTGCTGTGTCCAGTTCTGGGCCCTCAGCTCAGGAAGGACATGGAGGGGCTGGAGCAGGGGCAGAGAAGGGAACAGAGCTGGGGAAGGGACTGGAGCACAAGTGCTGTGAGGAGAGGCTAAGGGAGCTGGGGGGCCTCATCCTGGAGAAGAGGAGGCTCAGGGGAGACCTCAGCACTCTCTGCAGCTCCCTGACAGGAGGTTGTAGCCAGGTGGGGGTTGGTCTCTTCTCCCAGGAACCAGCAGTAGGACAAGAGGGCTCAGCCTGGAGCTGTGCCAGGGGAGGTTGAGGTTGGATATCAGGAAGAAATTTTTACAGAGGGAGTGCTCAGCATTGGAATGGGCTGCCCAGGGAGGGGGTGGATTCTCCATCCCTGGAGGTGTTTAAGGACAGATTGGATGTGGCATCAGTGCCACGGGCTGGGAACCACGGTGGGGTTGGATCAAGAGCTGGGCTTGATGATCTCAGAGATCTTATTCTGTCTTGGTGATTCTGTGAAATGTTTGTGTAAGTAAACTTAGACCTAAATGATTTGTGGCTCCACTGTGGTTGGAAATTCTTACTCCTGTTAGCAGGCAAGGGACAGCAGAACTGTCAGGTGAGGTGCTGGCTGGTTTTGAAAGGCACTGCTTCTTCCCCTGGTGTTTTATGGCTTAGAGCAAGGTGCCCAAGGGGCTGGGTGGAGTCCCTCAGGTAGTTCTGGCAGGCCCTGGCAGGGTCATGGTCAGCAGGCTGACCCCCAGCACTGCTGGGTGGGTGTGTGTGGGGCTGGGTTAACGAGTCGGTGCTGCATTGGAGAATTTAATGAGTTGTTCTCTCAGAATTTGCCATCCTTTCATTATCACGACTGTGCCAGCTTAAAAGAGCTGGGGGAAGACACCAAGTGAGTTTTAGCATTTACTGAAGAAAGAGATGTTGAACAGAAAGAGCAGAGTAACTTCACAGCGTGCTTGTTGCTCTGCCTTTGCTGCCTGTGGCAGTGGCTGCCTGCTGGGGTGATACCAACCCAGAGGATGTTTTCACTTGCCCCTGGGCAGCATTTCTGGGCCAAGGAAGCTGTGTGTGTACTCAGCTGTGGGATGTAGCTAATTGCACCTGGAAATATATAACCAAAATGCTGGGACTGTGAGCTGGCTGTGGAGCATCTGACCAGCGTTTCTGCCAGGCAGAGGGAGCCATTTATAAGATTTTTTTAATACAGCAGTGATGCCTTCTGCCATTGGAATGTTCTCCAAAAAAAAGAGAGAGGGGGGAAGTGATGAGTCCATTGCCAGGATGTTATCAAGAACCTCTCCTACATTCCTGTATGAATGGCAAAGCTTGCTGCTTCTCATTTATTTCACAGCAGGATCCCTCCCTGGGATGTGTGTGTGTAACTTGCCCTTGGAAATATTAGGAAAACCAATGTTTTGGGTTTGAGATGCTGTTTCTTAAGGGGTGATCATGTGCATCAGAAGGACATATGTGATCCTCACTGTCCTGTGATTGCAACAATGGCAATAGTGGGTCCACTGCACCCTCTCCATATGCTTTTATCTACATCATTATCTCTCCTGGCTCTGTAGTGTGGATGTTTTGCTGGTAGAGGCATTTGTCTGTGTCTCCTCTGGACCATTATCCAACTATCTTTCCTTTCTCCCCTCTGCTCCTGATAAGAATGTCCATTAGGGAAGAAGGAATTGCTGCTGTCAAGAAACTGTAGCACTGGAAATGTTACCACAACCTGTAGGTTCACAGAGATTATCTGCAGAAATTTATCCTGGCTCTTGAAGAAGAAAAAAAAAAAAAAAAAATCACTCCCAGATCTGCAAATCTCCCCAGAAGCTCCAGGTGAGCAGCACTGAGGCTGCCACCAACCACCACCCTTCCCTCTCCAGTGCCAGCAATAAACAAGGCTCAAGAGCCCAACAGTTTTTTGCCAGAGGATCTTTTCCAAATCCCAAAAAACTTAACCAGCTGTCTTCTTCACAGTCATGGTGGAAAGCAATAAAGTACCCCATTTATTAAACAATAACTACTTAGGGGACAGTGGATGGGTGTATGAACTGCATTCAGTTCATATATAAGCACTTGCATTGTAGCTAAACTGCTCGAGGGAAGGAACACACTCATTCCCTTTATGGTTACACAGCCCATGACTTTACCATAATGCTGGAACATAAAGCTCAGGCAACACTCACCACTGCATTTTCAGTAACATTATCACTCTGCTCTGGTCAGCTGAGGCACTCAGAGGAAAAACGGCTCATCCCAAATCCTCTCGTGAGGCAGCGGGAGGACCAGGAGAACAAGAGAAATCCTTTGTCCCCGTGTTACAAATCCTCACATGAAAGCACTGCACTGCCTGGGTGGCACAATCACTCCCCAAAAATCAATATTTGTACTGAGTTGACTCTGACTCTTCAGAAAACATTTGGCAAGAGGAGCTGTTGTTCTTAACAGCTACGACACATCTCTGCTCTGCAGAGGTCCCACACCCAAAGCTGAACATGACTTCCCCAAAAAGACAGCAAGTGCCACTTTCCACACAGCAAGACTTGGGACCCACTTCACAATTTTTTTTTTTTCAGTATTAAAAAATAAAGTTGATGTGATAAAAACTTTTTTTCACTTTGGAGAAACGTCACCCCTACCTGTGCCCTTAGCTAATCTAAAGGTCTGTTTGGATGTTCCAGAAGGTGGATTTGCTCCATATCACAGACAGTTGGTATCTGTCAAACCTGCAAACTGCTGTGCACAAATCAGCTCAACTCTTTTTCTTTCTCTTTCTCTCTTCAGTGCAAGGAATTCACCTTCCACACTGGCTACGAGGTCCTCGTACAGCGCCTGTTGGAGGGCAAGAAGATGTGCAAAGATGTGGAGGATTTGCTCAAGCAGAGGTATGAAAAGCAGAGGGAAAAAAGTGTGAACAGCCTCCTTTCTCTTTCCTCTTTGGCATCGGCAAAGGCTCTTTCTGAATTAGGTGGTGAAATGAGTTTACACAAAAAAGCCTGATTGGAACCCCAGCCTTGTGATGTGCTCTGTGAAGGAAGGTAACAAATAGAAATCTCAGGCATTTGAGAAGGGCAGAGGAGGTTGAAGGAGTCAGAAACCCAGAGCTCCGTTAGGACCCCGGTCGTTATGGCTCTGGATCCCACAGCAGCACACACATCCAAAAGTGGCACTTCTAAGTTTCCCCTTTTACAGGAAAAAATGACTTGCACATTTCTGTTTCTCTTTGAACGTGCTATTGCCACAAGCCCCGTTTCAGTTTCCTGCCACTACCAAAAAATGAGCCATTTTTCAAATACAGAGCTACACAAAATGCTGCCTAAAGCCCTCCCCAGACACCCAAGCCAGCCCACATCATTTGCCAGGCTTTGAGTAACAATGCTGTAGTTTGTGTCCCTTCTTGGTGCTGCTCAACAGCAGCTACGGACAGCTGACAATTTGTGGGTGAGAGAATATATTACCCTGCTGCTCAGGCTCCTTAGCCATTCATTTCTGCACTTCTGACATTGGAAAATAAATCTGAAATTTGGTTCTGTTTTTCAGTGGCTTCAGCAGTTTCAGCAGGTAGCATGAGGCACACACATGTTCATGCATGTAGGAAAGACCACAGAGAATGGATTACGTATCCAGCAGGCAATCCTGGAGCAGCTCCTCTCAGGGCTGTCTCCTTAGGAATATTGCTCTGCCTTCCTCAGTCACAGCCTGCTTTTTTTCTCTGTCCCCAGCTAGTTTTTTTTTTTTGTTTTAAGGGTTTTTTTCTGAAGGCTGTTTTTCAAGCCCTGGCACTTTCAAGGGGTGTGAGCTGTAAGACTGAAAGGTGAGTGTTTCACAGCATGTGAAGAGTCTCCCATCAAAACCTGAAGCTGTTTGAGCTGCTTTTCTCGACCACCAGTGGAAGCCTTTTATACTGGTGCACATCACAGCCCTGAAGTCACATCTGCCTGATGGTAGCTTAGCTGCCAATGTTTAAAATAGCTCCTCTGTGCCTCACAACTTCCAGGGATCAGAACTACACTGCAGGCTGCAGGCAGTGGAATTCTGCATTGGATGCTGCACATGCCTGTGTTTCTTTCCAAAAGATTAGAGAGGCTGCCTGCAGGTTGCAGGATGAAGTTTTTCCTGGTTTGTGGTGGACTTTCCACAAAGAAAAACAAAATACCCACACGGTCATTTTGCAAATGTTTCCATGAGCTTTTTTACACCCCCAAACCATCCCAGGGAGTGTGGGGACGTGTGTGCATGTGCACGTTGAGGAGGAGGGGAAGGAGAAGTGGGCACTGAGCTAAGGAAGGAGGTGTGATTTCCAGTTTATTTCTGCTGGATATTGGTTTCAGCTTGTCCTCGTGTCATTCATGGGAATGACCTAGGAGAAGATCAAAGGATGGGATGAATCTCTGGTCCTACAGGCTGCCCATACCACGGGCAGTGTGCTGGAATTTCGACAGGGACTCCTGCAGCAGCTGCCCTGACCACACTGACAGCTGATCAGTTTTCCACCCACAAATCCCCCTGCCTGGCCTGGAGAAGGGACTAGGTGGTGTGGGAGTGAGCAAGCAGTTGTATTCCAGAACAAAAGCCTGGATTTAAAACACAAAATCCATTCCAGCTCGGGATGGCTGCAGGGAAACCCAGGAGCTGAGTATAAGTGTATTGAAAAGTGGGAAAGGCAGCACTGAGGTGTGAAGAGATGGTGTCCAGCCAAATTCCTCTGACCCTGGGAGAGTCTAGTCCGTGCCTGGGGTTTCAGGAATTCTTGCCCCAAGGGTTTTACAGGAGCTGGGAATGGCTGAAGAGCTGGCCGTGCTTTTTCCCCATCCTATGTTGTTTACTGAGCAAACAAAGTGGGACTGCAGCACTGGGGTCATTCTCATTCCTGTACAAGCACTGGCATTAAGCAAAGTCTCTGACACAGAAGTGTTTCTTGTTACTAAAATCAGAAGAAAATTAATCTTTTCTTCATTTTTATGTATCTCTGGAGTGTATTTCCATTTTGGTGACGTTTCACTCATCTAACATGAACATGAAGTGGTGTGGCCTGTCACTGCATTTTGCACCCTGTTCCTCTAGAAGGAATCCCAAAGCAGTGATGGAGGAACACCCCACTAAAACACAGCAATTCCTGGGGTGGGAGAAGAGCAATTAACTAAGAGCACATGCAGTGCTGGACACGTGGGAGCCAAGCACAGGGGCCAGGAACACCCTCACTCGGGGCTGTGGTGACTGCAGGTTGCTGTATGGCCAGCACTGCTGGTCCACCAGCCTGACTGATCTCCTTGGACTGGGGGAAAATCATCCCTCCCCCCAAATGCCAGCACCAGGCTATCTGCTCATTATTAATTATTGACCATTGGATAGTTTTTAGCAGTTACTCAAAGACTGAAAACTTGGTTCCTCCCTGATCCTGCACCCGGGAGAAAGGAAGTAACATATTTAGTACAAATACTTCTTTTAAACAGAAAATAGAAATTTCCTCCAGAGCTGGGGGAGGGCAAAAGAGAAAAGAAATATTTGTGTTTCTTTATTAACCATAGAAACAGAACCACTGCTCTGACTCACCAGTTACAGTTCCCCCTTAGGTGAGACACCACAGTCCCTTCCACTGAACTGCCCCAGCCCCACCAAACACCCCTGCACCTCCACTGCAGCTCTTCAAGCAGCACCTCATGTTTCTATTTATATTCCTGCTCCTCCTGGCTCCCATTTATTCTGAACCTCTCTTAAACAGATCCTGTGGAACCCACTCCTCACTCCCCTCTGAGCTGGTATTTTAATGCATCGAATTTAATTACCCCGAATATTTAAGAGGTGAACTGACAGCACTAGGATTGCAGAAATAAAATCCATTGTATTCCTCGTGATTTTTGTACCTCAGATACAATGACAAGATTGGTGTAAATGTGATCCTGCTACCACCAAGAGGAATTGAGGAAGTTTTTCTTTCCACAGAGCACAAGCAGAAGAGAGATATGGGAAGGAGCTGATTCAAATCGCCCGGAAAGCAGGAGGACAGACAGAAATCAAGTAAGGAACTCTTTCATTGTTCATGCAAACAAAATGATTTTGGAAGAGAGATCAGACTCCTGTGTTTTGCCTACGAATGGGAGCACAAGCTGCTCACTTCAGTGCCTTGCACAGCACTTCACAATGCACAGGAAAGGGGGGGAAACACCATGGTCCTTCACAAAAGGATTCACAGAATCTCTGTTTGGAAACTGCCAGTGGGTCCTTTCCTGAGATGATGGGGAAAAAAAGGGAAAGGGAAAGGTTGTGAAATGTTTAGGATGGTGGCTTGGCAATTCTGGGAAGCTGGTGGACCTGCAGAGACTGTGACTGAACAAATGCCAAGTGCAAAGACCCCAAAAATCAGTTTCTGCAGCAGGAAAAAATATTTATCCTAGGAATACAAAATTTAAATCTCTTTGAAGGGACTTAATTTGAAATAAATCAACGGAGCTACTGAAATACAGTAAGATGACATATATTTTTCTCTGTCTCCTCCACTACTATCCTAAATCACATATAAATTGTGTTGGGAGGGGAAGATATATGTTGGCATGGAATTTAACTTAATAAACACTGCTGATAAACTGCTGCTATTATTGGTGGCAGCAGCAATAATGAGACATTTTGCCATTATTGTAACAAGTAATAATACAGTAATAAGGTGGCAGAGGATGAAGATGTGAGGTCACAGAAGACAAGCCTGGAAGAGAAGACCTCAATCTAAACACAAAGCAGCTCTATTGATCCCTGGGGCCTCCTGCCCTCATCCCTCCCATATCTCATTCCTTAATTGCAGCCTCCTTTCCGTGTCCATTCATCACTCCCAGTGCAAGCCTGGTTTCCTGCTCGTATTTTATGGGAAAACCTGACCTCAAAGCCTTGCATGGCCAGGGCAGGGAAGTGCCAGGGAATCACCTGTAGCACCGACTGTGGATTTGGTGGTGGAACAGCCAGGCTGACAGGGAAAATGGGCACTAAGGTGGGACACGGCTTCGGCCTTCCCGGTGTCTCAGTTCACTGACTCAGCCAGAGAAAAAGAAAGGGAAGAAATATTCCAGAATGAAAGCATCAGATTAAGGATGGGTGGCTTCTTCCCAAACCAAAGATCAGCGTGCCAGGATTAACGGAAGGCTCCACTTCACCTGCTTTACTGGCAGTGCAGGGCAGGCAGAGCAAACGTGTTCAGCAGCAGCCAGTGCTGGCTGCTCTTCAGTGACTTCAGTGATAATTCATTGATCTGACTTTTCCTAGGAGATTATGAAAGCTTGATTTAGAGGCAGAGCCAAGTCCTGGAGTTGGGATATGGATCCAAGTTCCCCCTCAAGTTGGGGGAAGTTTGGACTTGGGCCCAGCTCCACTTTGATGTAGCAGTTTCATAGCTTGGCAGGGAGGGAAGGCTGGGTATCCCAACCAAGCACAGAGCAGAGCTGATTTACTGTGTTTCCATCACCCAGCCTGGCCTGGGGATGACCAGCTTTGCACTGATATTTTTATCAGAGCATGGGTCTCACTGTAGCTGTCCTTTGGCTTTCTCTCATCCAGCATCCTCTGGCTGTTTAAGGAGTCACACACATGGACAATGAAGGGCATTTGTCCAGAGCAAAGACTTAAAATCAGAGAAAACTAAAGCCTCTTCAGGGCTGGAACAACTCAAGAAAATGAAATGTTTGGGTTTAAAGCCTTAAAATCATTGACACGATGTGAGGTCCGTGTTTGTTTCTGTGACAATGATTACTGGCAGCAGTTCTGCTCCCAAGGTCAGTCCTTCAGGGACACTTGAGGGAGGCAATTTATGTACTACCTGTAACAAGAAAAGCTTGAAAGGACTATGCCACAACCGCCCCAGTGCATTTTTCCAAGTGCTTCTCTTTACAGGACTTCCTATTATCATCTAGCACACTGAGTCCTAAAAGCACAAGTACTTGACAGGCTGAACAGGGCTGTTAACATCTTTAAAAGCAGCTCTGGGTAGCATTATTGCTCAAATAAAGTCTAATGTATTTGTACCTAAAACTTCCACTTGACAACCACCTGGAAAAAAAGGAGTTCCAGGTTGGTTTTTTTTTTGCAGAATGTTTTACAGACCTTCCTGTGCCATGCTGTGGATGGCACAGAAGCAGGAATTACTAATTTTAGAACACTCAGTCATTTTCTTGCTAATGCAAAATTATTATCCTCTTAAATTCTGCTCTTAAATTCAGCCATCTTTTAAACATCTCAGATACTAAGGCTTTCTCTCACTTCTCCTGAGAAATTATTTCACACCCCAGTGGTTCTCGATATCAGGAAGGCACCTGATACTCTTTCAACAAGTCGATAAAGGAAACATAAAAAATCCATCCACAACAACCACCCAAACCCTTCCAGTACGAGAAAATACCCAGAAGACTTTAACAGGAACAACTGCAAGGCCCAGGTTGATACTTCAGCACAGTCAGGGACGACACAACAGGGCACAGAGAATAAGCATGATGAGTAAATACAGGGAGAAGCCCAGGGAATTCTGTGGAACACGGCACGAGGTAGTGGCTATTGCCACAGAAAACAGTTCTCCCTCAAGCCTCCTCCACATTTTAAAAGCTTTTAGTTTTGAATCAACTTAAAAAACAATTTCAACATTTATCCAGGCTCGTCCCTTCTCCCCCAAAATTTTGCCTCAGCTGGAGTGAATTGCTGAACTCAGCTCAGTGTATAAATAGAGTCAACTGCCCTGTTTTATTTACTGAAAGGCACAGATGAAGAAATAAGCTGCTGACTCAGAAGAAAGATATTAGGGAAGGGTCACTGGAATGTAACAACAACTCTGGGACCCCTTTCTATTGCTCTGAGAAAGCTCTGTGGGAGCAGTTGTCGGGATCCCATGCCATGTGCTGCCCAGGGCTGTTCCCTCACCATCACTGCAGCTCCTGGGATGGAGAGCTGACCCCTCAGGGCCCAGCACTGCCCGTGCCTGGCAGGGACAGCAGCAAACCAGGACACTGCACTGTGGAGGATCAGCAGTGATGCAATCTGTGACCTGGGAAAAGAGGATCACATTGTGTCTCCACCCGTGTCTCCACCCGTGGGCTCCTCAGCACCAGGAACGGGAGGGTCACTTGGACCTGAGAGCCAGCAGGGACCAGGATTGTAGACACTTTTAATCTGATTTCTGATTTTTAAAAAGAGGCAAGAAGGGGTTTCTAAAAGAAGCTGGTGCTGGTTACCGTGGACAGTAGCAAACAAACACTCCAGCTTCCAGCTCAAGAAACAAAAGTTCCCTCTAAGGACACCATCACTCAACAGTCCAGCCTGATTTATGCAAATTGAGGCGTTCTGGCTGCTTGGCCCTTGCCTCAAGCACTGCAGCTGGTACAAACTCCTGGCTACAGGGGAGGTAGAAATCCTCTTCCCAACCCAGCTCTAACTCAGCAGTTCCTTGGCAAGTTCCTTCTGATGCACAGAAGGATGCACACACTTGAGTCTAAGTGCAAGGCTGCAAGACAGGTCAGACTAATCCCTTCAGCTCAATATTCTGTCCCCAGAACCAGATCCCCAGGGAAGAGGAAAAGAACAGGGCAAGGATATGAAAATATGTCTTCTAAACCATCCCCTAACCTTGGCAACTGGCAGTGCAGGGGCTGCCACAGCAGCAGCTTTGTACAGAGTGGCCCCAGTGGAGTTTTTTTAAGGTGAACCGATCTACTCCTGTCATCCCACTGTTTAAATTTAAAAAAATTAAACCTGCATCATCATTTCACAGTCGTCCAATCATAAGAGAAATTATGAGAAAGATGATTACAAACCCACAGCTACATTTTCTTGGCAAATGACAGCTTATACCCATATCCAGCGGGGGGGGAGAGGCAACTGCATGTTTTGAAGTGGAAAGTGCAGTGTTTTTTGCACTCTCCATGCTCTGTGGTGCACACATGGGAGGGGATGGACAGAAACTGGGCATTTTCAGCCGAGTCACAAACTGAGATCACGTTTCCAAGTGTTTGCTGGCAGTGGTGGTGCCTCACACACTGTTCAGATGATTCTCAGCAGAGCTTGTGCCTTTAAGAGGAAGCACCTTTTCTGGCTGCAAGGTGACTGGGAATTTCCTTGCAGTGGCTTTGGGCAGCTCTTCAGCAGAGCAACATGGGAACAGAATATGCTCCAGAGCCCAGTTTGCAGCCCAACCAGAGCCTCTGGGAACTCCGTTCTGCTGCAAAATCACTGATGTAAACACGCAGTAGCTGGTTAAATTCTGCCTAGTCTGACAACATCTATTTTTGTCATTTGCTCGGCCTGTCTCTTCTCATGTATATGATTCCCTGCATTTTCTGTCCCTCTTTTCCACTACCATCTCCTTCAGACCTCGAGAAAGGGTAGTTCCTTCAAGCCTGTGTCTGCTGTGCCTTCCTCTGCAGCCCCTGAAATAGAACATTTCAGTGAGTGTGAGGTGAGGGCATCTGTAACGAAATGCCAATTGCTGCTTCCTGGGTATAAAAATAGTGCATCTGTCACTTAATATACAGAATCCTCTGTATTAATCCACACAAAGCAGGCATTTTTGAACTGAAGCTAAAAGTCAGTTGGGAAGGTCACATCCTTCCATGGTTGACTATTCTCCACTCAAATGTTCTGAACCCACACACAATTTATACTCTTGTTCTTTGAACTTTCAGGACTCTGAAAATGGGCTGAAGCCTCTGCTCAGTTCAATCTAAATAAGCTCTCTGGTGATCAGGACAGGCATTTTTGAGCAGTGCTGCTCTCCTTCTGAGGAGACACGAGGAAATTTAGTTTTATTTTAACGGTACAAAAGTTGTTTTGATTGTTTGGGCCTTTGATTTGAATGGCATGGATCATTCAGGAAGGGCATGGAGGGGCTGGAGCAGGTGCAGAGAAGAGCAAAAAGGCTGGGGAAGGGACTGGAGCACAAGTGCTGTGAGGAGAGGCTGAGGGAGCTGGGGGGGCTCAGCCTGGAGAGGAGGAGGCTCAGAGGAGACCTCATCACTCTCTACAGCTCCCTGACAGGAGGTTGGAGCCAGGTGGGGGTTGGTCTCTTCTCCCAGGAACCAGCAGTAGGACAAGAGGGCTCGATCTTAAACTGTGCCAGGGGAGGTTGAGGTTGGATATCAGGAAGAAATTTTTACAGAGAGAGTGCTCAGCCCTTGGAATGGGCTGCCCAGGGAGGGGGTGGATTCTCCATCCCTGGAGGTGTTTAAGGACAGACTGGATGTGGCATCAGTGCCATGGGCTGGGAACCACGGGGGGTTGGATCAAGGGTTGGACCTGATGATCTCAGAGGTCCTTTCCAACCCGGCTGATTCTGTGATTCTGGAGTCACAATTTGTTGTCAATAGGCACAGATTAACGGGAAGGAGAAGGCACATGGAGCTGTCATCCCATTTGCTCCCCTCCCTCTTCATTTCTCTCTTGCAATGCAGACACAGTCCCAGGTGCAAAGTCTTTGAGAGTGGACGATTCCGGACTCGTTTCCCCACACCACGACCTGGGCTTGACAGAAAGAATTCTTGGCCAAACCACACTGGGTCTACCCTGTGTGGCAGGAGGAAAGACAGATGGGAATCGTGGCCCCAGAGGTGACTGTCGTTGGGGTGGCTTCACGACTGTGTCACTGGGATCGAAGTTCCCAGAGGCAGAGGGTGAACAGGACTGGTGGGAGGTGCTCTGGAGAGTTCGTCTGGCAGAGACCTCTCTCGATTTCAGAAAGGATATTTTTAAAAGTTACAATAAGAACAGGACGTTGTAGATCACACTGAGGTGAAAATAGAAACCTACCAGAAAGGAAGGTGGGGTTATTTCGCGCTTCTATTCACCAAGCAAAGGTAGAAAACAAAGAAAATTAAAAAAGATGTGGTTTTACGGTTAGAAGAGCCTGTTTTACCTTCCTGTGTGCAAGATGTAAAAGGACTCTCCAAATTACTCAGTTAACCCAGTCTCTAAAGGCAAAGTACTGGAAAAAAAAGGCCCAAACCATCAAGCTCAAAGTTGAAAAAAATTAAACAAAAGCATAAAAGCGCGGGTGTAACAGCGTACATAGTGAGTAGAGCTGTCAGCTCAGCACTGCCACTGACAGGGCGCTGCTAATTGCATCCCTGGGGCCACCACATTCGGCTTTGGATGGCTGTGGAGCAAAGGGCACCAGAGCCCTGCCCACAGGGCATTTCCTGGTGGTCCTCGTGTCACACAGGGCTGCCCAGCACAGCCTGTTCTGGGTGAGAGCCCAGCTCTTCAGCAGAAACAAGGTCCAAAATAAGAGAGAGAGAAAGCAAAAGAAAACCCAAACCAAGCCGGTAAGATTTTTGTAGCCACTAGATGGCAAAAACCACCCGAAGTTGCTGCAGTGGCTCCTGCACAGGCTCTGTCTGTTCCCTGTTGTTCCAGGTTCAGGCAGTCCTGTTTTCACCCGAAATTCGTTTTGACAAATCCAGTCTTTTAAATGTACAACGGGAAGTCGTTTAACAAACATGCACGGTAAATTTGTGTCCAAGCCTATTTTCAAGGAGTCGTCTGCAGGAGCCTCCACCCCTGGGCTGCCCAAAGGGAAGGCTGGAACTCTGTCTTTAGCTGGAGTGGTTTAACACTTCCAGAATTTGCTTGAAAATTTTAGAAGTGAGCAATTTAAAAAAATAAAAATAAAAAGGCAAATGGCAAATTTTCAGTTTTGCTTGAATTGTTTCCAAGTGCAGGTTTTCTAATTTAACCACAGAATAAACAAACAAAAACACAATTACTACCAGGATGATCAGCAACAGCATAAACTGAGGGTAAAAAACACTTCAGAGTGTCCATGAGAGCAAGACATTCTCGCTCTGGACACCTCAGAATAAAGCCTGTATCAATCCCATTTGAGCCAAACCCACCCAAGGCAATAGGTACTGTTAACAGGTGCATCCAAACCAGCACAGAAGGAATTAAAACCCACTTGTATTTCAGCTACAGGAGTTGCTTCCTTTAACCCCTGTGAAGCTCTGAGATATTTCACTGATATCATCAGAGCATCCAGCTGCAATGAGCAGCTAATCCACAGCGCTGCTGCTGCAGCCCAGGAGTCGTAAAGGGAGTCCTGATGGATCCACAGGTAAAAATTTGATTTATTTATCCTCCCCCACATGCATAACTTGGCATGATGAGATATTTTCCACCCTCTTAAGCCCTGTAAGGGTGTGGGATCCGATTCACTGACTTTAGAAAATCATTATAAAAATAAGGAAGGAAATGGCTGAAGTCTGCTTCAATCTACTCGTGGCCTTGCTCCAGTCAGCAGCTGGGGAATTGGCTGGACAAATCCTTCACACAAGGAAGAAAAGGCCAGGGATTTCTGAAAAGGCCATCAGAGACCATGCAAGGGGCAGATTGGTCTCACTTTGCCAGGTGCATTATTATATCAGACCCCCTGAGCCTTGCAGAGAGCCAGCAGAAAGGACTGGATGCCTTTTGATCATCAGCTGCTCAGGTGCCTGGAAACCAAAAGAGCAGCAAATTGCTTTTGTCCTTGATGTATTCTGAGAAAGTGCCATTTTTCAGTATCCATTCCAGCAATTTTGCCAGTTTTTGCATAACTTGAATCGCCAACAGCAAAGGGAAAAAAAAAATCTCTGGGACCAATAGATCAACACAGAGTGCCAACAGGATGTGCAGTTTGCAAGTGTTCTCTGTTTTTAAAATTCCAGCATTTCCACACTTCAGGCATGAAGTTGTTAGCACATTCCCCTCCTCCTATTGGAAATTACACACTATAAAAGCAAATTTCATTCCTTGTATATATTTAATTTTTCAAAATAATCCATTAGAGTGTTTAGGTGAGAAAAAGTTATCTCTGCTAATGATATTCAACTTGTCTTTAAATGTCAAGCTTTTAATTAGCTGGAAAGAATACCCTTTGTTTCCCTTCTTGTGTGACAATTTTGTTTCCAACCAAATTTCACACCAGAATAATTTTTTTGCCAAATAAAGCTTCAAATGTTTAAGTATTGTTAGGAAAATAGTTAAAAATGCTCAATCTAGCAAGTTCTTCCTGACTTATCTCAGGAGATTGACCACAACCAATCTAATTGAAATCTGGAAAAAAAAAAAAATCAAACAGCTCTTCTTTTCTGGCTGAAAGTATTTTCCTTATATTTTTGTAAATTTAGATGCATTTTTCTTATACCTGGCAAGGCAGTCTCACTGCTGAGAGAGCAAGCTTTGATTAGGGAACAGATGTCCAGCCTAAATTAACACAGGGCAATTAGGATATTTCATCTGTCTCTTAAGGCTCCTGAAATGGCCCAAGAGATGCAGATTTCCCTTCCCATCTGTGGTCACACGTGGCTGCCAAGGGATATGGATCCTCCCCTGGACTCTGCTGGTGACAAAGCTCCAGCCAGGGAGACTTCAGGCTCTTCCAGCTTTTCCCCTGGGGCAGATCAGAGCTCCTTGGATAGCCCAGAACTGTTTCCTTCAGGGAAACAAGACACTCTGGGGGCTTGAAGAGATGATTTCTCTAAACCTGAGAAACCTCCAAATCGCACCGCAGCCCTGGCTTGTGTGTCTGCAGATGCTCTGCCAGCCTGCAAATTCAGAGCTAGAGGAATTCATTGAAGCTGGAAATGCCTTTTTACAGACCTTTTTTGCTCTCCCATCACGAGGGCTCCGCACCGGCCGTGCTGGGGAGTGGAGCCACACGGGGGTGCTCGGGCAGCGCCGCTCGGGGATGCTGCGGCCTGACCGGGGCACCCACGGGCAAGAACCGGCTGGGGCTGCATCCCGCTCTGCCCTTCCCACCCCTGCTCCAAACCCCAGTCCCCCTAGGCTGAGATGTTAATGGCTGTTAGCACTCGCGGTCACAAACACCGTGGGATTCAAAAGGAAGGTGCACAGGAGCATTTACTGCGTTTCCTGACGGTAACAGATTGATGCTGTTGTGCTCGTTAGCGTGGTCAACCTTTATTAATACACTATAAAGGGTCTTATCTCAACATGGATCTCTGAGATTCTGAGGGAAGGTTTTTCCCCTGGATTCACATCCCACCCTAGAAGCCAATGCTAATAAAGTGTCTTGTTTCTGCCCCCCAGCACACTGAAGGCAGCATTCGAGACGCTCAAGCAACGTAAGTATTTACATCTTCCCTTCTGACCTGGGAAACGTGGCCATCCAACGTGTTCCTTCCCTCTTCCCCCCTCTATTCCCAGCTTTTCTGTCCCAGTCTGTGGTGTGGAGGGAACAGACACTCACTGTGTGTTCTCCAAGGCTGGGCACCCAATCCACTCTCTGGTGGCAAAGAAAATGGCTTGTTCCTCGAGTAAGTTATATCTGGGTCAAGTCACAAAATATGAGCTCTATTCCCTCTTCCACAAACCACTGGCACCAAACCAGCACCTTTCTAAATGTGCCCAAGACTCAACAAACCTCAAAATGCAGCACCATCATAGCCAGTGGGACACTGAACCTGGCCACTGGCACCTGCAGTTTAGCCCAAAACCTGCAATCAGCATCATTCAGGTTGGGTGAACCCTCAGCAATGGAAGTGCTTGCAAAAAAAGGACCTTTTTTAAGGCCATCCTGTTCATAACAAGTCACACGGGGCAGCCACGTCACAGAAACATCTCCTAAAAAGCACGACTTTGTATTTGAAGTATTTCCACTGACTGTACACAAATTCTGATTTGCTCTAGAAATTGAAAGCGTTGGAAACTCTCACATCCAACTGGCAGTGATGCTGAAGGATGAGCTGAAAGGCATAGAGGAATTCCGAGAAAGGCAGAAGGAGCAAAGAAAAAAGGTGAGGAACTGGAGAAATGTTGAAACAAATTGGGTAAATGGTCCATGCTGATGACCTGTCTCCAGCCACAGGCTGGAATTCTGCAGAAGATGATAAAGCATTCCCAGTGTGCCCTGCTCACTCTGTAGACCAGAGTGTGGAACAAAAACACCTTTCTGATCCCAGCTGGAAATCAAGTAGTGCTCTGAACGCAGGAGCCAGAGGCTTTAGTCCCTTTTACTCTCTCTGGTGTAACTGCAGATACTGTTATTGTTATTCCTGTAAGAACTTAATCCTTCCTTTTCTTTTTTTTATACCCTTGCTAATGGGTTTCTTTGCTATGATCCTGCATGATCTCTAACACAAACATTTAAAAACAGAAAAGCAAATGGATATTGCAACACCAATATACGCTGAATTACAAATACATGGAATAAGTAGCATCTAGTTGATGTCATCTAATAAAAATTTGAGTGTGTTTAAGGCCATTTCATCCCCTATGATCTTATCAAGGTCTAAGTGCCTTGAAAAACAGTTCTCAATAGAGATAACAGTGGTCGCTCTCACACCTTCTGTGGTTCTGTGGGGCTGAAGACAAAGATGGGACAGTCACTTAACCCTGACAACATCGAGAGATGGAGGAGTAAAATGAAACATTCAGTTCTTTGCTGAAAATGCATACAGCCAGTATCTGATGCCACAAAAATCTTGTGTCTACAAGTCCCTGACACACAGGAACCTGCAATAGCAGAGAACTCTGAGTATGAAAGTAGGAGAAATCAGCAGCGCTACTGAGATTTGAGATGTGCAGCAATCTGATGAGGCACCCAGGGCACACAAAGAGGGCAGGTCCATGGGTGTTTGCATCCTCCCTCCATCCCACAAGGATGTTCAGAGGGGCCGTTTCTCCTGTTGAGAACAGCAAGCCTTTCACTCAACTGGGAACAGTGAGAGGGGCCTGGAAAACAATGAAAAACTGCTTTGGAACCTTAGACAAGCTTTTTTCTCTGGCCAGCACGTGGCTGTGAGGGAGCCAGCATTAGATACGCTGCGTGGTGTCAGTGTTTTTGGTAACCTCCCAAAAGGCTGTGAGTTGTGTTTTACTGGAGCTGCTCTCAGGACGGTGCCCAGGATGAAACAAGGACTCTCTCTGGGTAGCCCTGGAGAGAGTTTTGCTTGAGCAGAACATAAAAATTAAAGGACCAAAAGTCCCACTGAGGAAATCCATCCCCTGCCAAGTAGGAGTGTATCTCACTGTCACATAAAACTGGGCACATCACAACTAAAGCCATGAAAGAGAATCCAGCTCTGTCCTTCCAACACTGACCAGATGACAGCATGGAAATCAAATTGTACTGAGCCTAAATTTGCCAGAGGCAATGGAATATAAACCCAGGAATTGCTTGTGTTTAAAATGGACAAGTACCTGTGCTCATGTGGGTGACACAGTGGTTTGGTGTGCAGAGATGCAGGATCAAGCTCTGGCACCAGCAAAGGAGCTCTGCTGGCAGAGCCCACAGGCACAGTTACTGGGTGTTATGCTATTTCATCTCCTTAAGGTAAGAAAAAAAAAGGAGGAAGAAAATGAAGATCTACATCCTCTCTGCTATTAATGGAAACCACTGAAGCAGAATGATCTTGGATTATTTTTTTACCTGGCACTTTGATGCTCTCTGCATCACTTAGAAACCTGCCATTTATAAAAGCAGACTGAAGTAATTTTCCCCCACAGACAGGTGTCTCACAGAGAGGCCCTGACAATGGCTTTCCCAATCCTGCCACTGGAAAGGGAAGCAAGAAGTGCAAAGCAAGAAATGGTGACCTGTGTGTGTTTCTTGCAGTACGAGTCTGCGATGGAGCGCGTGCAGAAGAGCAAACTGTCCCACTACAAGAAAACGATGGAGGTGAGCAAGGAGGCTCGTGCAGGTTTCCTGATGCAAACTGGCTCCAGGATAATCTGTGCCACAAGTACCTATATTTAAAGAAAGGTTGAGGCTTTGTGAGTTGTGTTGTGTGAGAGAGAGAGGATGTGATTCCTGCTATGAGCAGAACACTGATCTTCCCTGCTGCATCCCCTGAAGAGTCTCCAGAAGGTTCGTGGATGGGATGAATGATGCCCCAGGTGGAACAGGGTTTCATTCTTTCTAGGCAAGAGTACTTACAGGAGTGAATGTAAGTTTTCAGTCTGTGTAAATACAACTTTAAAAATGGTGAGGGAATCTCACAAGCAGGAGGAATCCTCTCCAGCTGGAAAGCATGCAGGTACAGGAACTGTAAGCAGCTGGTTTTGGTTTCCAGTGGGCAACTGCCTCTAAAGGAGAGTAGCTGCAGACCTGTCAGTGCTACAGCTGGTACTGTACTAACAGTTTTTATTGAAATGTGGTTGTTTCAGGTGAATCTCTGAGACACAGAGATCTTTTGGTGCAAATAAGGATTTCTCTTGCTTGTGAGAACTGCACCGAGACTGTTGTCAATGGGGTGCTGGCTCTGCCTCACAGCCTGGAGCAGTGGGCAAGGAGCTCACTGACTCTGGCCACCTGATGCTCCACATCACAGTGCAGAAATGACAGCCCCACCCCACGGGCCCCCTGGGAATGTGGGCTCCCAATTCTGTCTCTATGCAGAGAGACCTCGCTCAGACCTGATGCCCTGATGGTGGCAGAACTGCATTCCTGGCCACCCCTGGAGGGAGCTGCAGTTGCACAAAGCAGATGAGTTCAGGGCTGCGAGAAAAGAACACAATTGATGCTCTCGGCCCCTCACCCCAAGTTTTCAGTTCCATTTTTCTATCTCCTTATGGCATCACTGGGAATTTTTTCTGCTGCCCGAGCCTGGGCACTGATTTGCTCCCCCTGGGCTGCAAAACAGGCATGGTCTGGAACATCACAGTGGGGAGAGCCCAGCCTTGTTCCCTCACTTTGGTTTCATTTCCATGCAGTCCAAGAAGACCTACGAGCAGAAGTGCAGGGAGGCGGACGAGGCGGAGCAGTCCTTTGAACGCACCAGCGCTTCAGGCAACCAAAAGCAAACAGAAAAGGTACCTCAGGTGATATTTAGAGAGAAAACCGGGGGGTTTACCTTTCCGAGGTACAAGAGAGTACAATCAACCAACCCGTTCTGCAGGATGCCAGGGGCTGTTTTCTCTTCTAATTAACCCCTTGGGATCCCCTGGGAAAGAGCTAAGTTATCTAATTAATTTATCCCAGGCTATGATCCAATTGCTCTATGAATGCTGAAAAGGAAACTGAATGGGATTTTTCTCTGAAATTATTCATTTAAAAAAAAAAAAAAAGAGACAAGTCAGAAGTATGTCACGCATTTAGTTTTGCTTTTTGGTCTCCTACACTTAGTAGGCACAGAATCTTACATTAAAATGCATATTTTGCCTCAACATTTCTCTCCTTATGGTTAGTTTAATTTCAGCTAAATTTACAGACTCAAAAATAAATCGTTGGAAATTAAGGCACTGCAGTCCTTCGTTGCACCATCTCGATCCTTGTAGCTGACAATTCACTAACTTTTAATGGGAACATTTTACAGCGGAACAGATGGAGAAAACAAAATAAATGAACTCCCTTTGGCTTGATAAAAATCAGTGCAGTGTAAGCAAAAAGGATCAAAAATCATCTCAAGGAGTGGGGTGGGTGGAGACTCTAAAAACGGCATCAGAACTTTACATTTTATTTCCAGCGTTCGCTGGTCTTTGAGGAGCGAAGCCCTCCGGTTAAGCTGCAAAGAGGGGATGGAATCCTGGCTCTGCAGCTCCAGTGGCAGCTCAGCCTGATGGAGCTCCTTTCACAGCAGCATCCCAGGGTGCTGCCCTGCCCTCCCCACATGAGCCAGCACACTGTCAATGCACAGAGGCAGCTCCCAAGCTGTTGAGTTCTGCTCAGCATTCACAAACAGTCTGGGGCAGGAAGCAAAGGAGAACGAAGCTTCTGTTCCCAGCTTACAGCACGTTTTCCAAGCAGCTGGGATGAGGGATATGGGCGTAGGGAGCCCTACCTGAGCCTTGCCTTCAGCGGCAGAGTGGAAGAATGTATTACACTGATGTCTAGAGCCGTGAATTAACGTGTTGTCATCACCCCTGGGCAGGAAGACCTGGCAGTAACGAGCTGTCAATAATGGCTGCATTTTCGTTTGTTAAAAGCTGCAGGTTTTGGAAAAGGAAAAGTTCTACTTAGAGTGAATTTTGCTTTTAGGCTTCTGAGTTGTTATGGGAAATAATCTGGCATTTGCAAAGCATTTTAGAAGCTGTGTTCTTTTCATCTGTGTATTACATGAGGAGCTTGAAAGATGAAGAATTTTAACTGCCATTTATTTCTGCTTATAAATATCTATTAGAAGAGCAGATCAAACAGTAGAGAAAAAACAACTCAGTCAGCAGACACAGCTTCAGGCTGGATCATGCTGGCTCTGAGCTCCTGTGGCAGGGATGTCTGAATGGAAAGATTTCCCCTGAAGTCAGGGGAGCTAGGGCTGCACCTGGAAAATCCCAGTCCCTGCTTCTCCATAGCACATGTTCAACAGAACCAGGCACAAAGGCAGGAGAGCCAGCAAGTGTTTGCAAGTTAGAGCTTTTCCCTAAAAGGGAAAAGAGAGCAGGCAGCAAAAAAAAAAAACGGGGCTGAAGCAAAAATACTGTCAGAAATTAATTTGGGGTGTTTCTTTTCCCGTTTCAGAGTCAGAACAAAGCCAAGCAATGCAGAGATGCAGCAAATGAAGCAGGTGATGCTCTATTTGCAACTGAACATTATGATTCTTCTCAGCAGAGATCTCCCAGCACAGGGTTTTGATAGAGCACCATCCAAATCACCCAGGCTGTCTCCTTTTGAAGTCAAGGTTCCCAAAGTCACTCGCCCAAATATTAATGAGAAAACCTCTAAGGAACAGCAAGCTGACAGCCATCTGCTTTCACTACCCTTTGTGGAAATGCAAGTGTCCTGCTTCCATTAAAGAATTTATAGAAGACCTCCTTTAGGGACTTCACCCAGGAAAGAGAAGCTCTCCTCGAAGCAAGTTTGAAAGCACAGAAGACACTCAAATTGCCCCCAGCCAGCCCAAACCAGATTCACCATCCCCATGCACATGAGCACGGAGCATTCTCCAGCCACAAACACCCTGGGAGTCCAGGCCAGGCCAGCACACATCTGAGCTGGCTCAGGAGGTCAGGCTGGTCCCTCCCTGCTCATGGAACAATTTACACTGAATCACACGGCTCATCTGCCTGGCTTGGCATGGAAGGAGCCTAAAGATGCTCAGTGCCCAAGCATGGTCCAGGCTCTTCATCTCTGAAGTGCATCATCCCTACTGTAAAGTTTATATCTGCAAGCCATCCAGAGAAGAACCCTTTCTGTAGTATAAAGCTGCAAAGAAAAAAAACCCAGAGATCCTTTTGCCCCACCAGTTTCAAGCTCACACATTTTTTGGGATACCACAGGCCTGAAGTATAAGAACCACAGCAAAGGCCCAACAGCAGGAAAAAGAGAAAGGCTGCACCCCTTTTTCCCCAACTGTTAAGTTTCTCTTCTGTGTGTCTGTATTTACAGAGAACGTGTACAAACAGAACATCGAGCAGCTGGATAAGGTCAGGACAGAGTGGGAACAGGAACACATCAAAACCTGCGAGGTAAACATTGACTTCTACAGTGAGATGTTTGCGAGCTCTTTATTTTCTCCCACTGGCAGATATCAGTCTAAGACCTGACACATCATCCCAAGGGCTTTCCTGTTTGCTTTATGTGGAGTCTCAGTAGATGTCTTTGCAAAATTACTGCAAAAACTGGAGCTGATTTAGATGCAGCTGCTGCTGTCTCACTGACACTCTCCCTGCCTGGTCAGCATAACTACCTAGACACAAAGGAGGGGAATAAGTGCAGAGGTGGGAGATGTGGAGCAATATGTGAACTGGTACACACCCAACCCACTCAGACCCTTTATTTTTCATAGCACTTTATATTTACCTGCAAGAATCTTTGTCCTCTGCCATGGAGTAATCTTTCCAATGAAAGGTGGTGCTGGTGGAAAAGTCTCTATTTACATTATGCCAAGGATGGGCAAGGAGATCTGCACTTGGCTAGTAAGTTTTGCACAACAATTTCCAGGAACTGGTTGGCATCCAAATCAGCCACGCATTTGGTCACAGTAATCCTTCAAGTACCTTTGCCCATCTGCTAAAGTCTGATTTTGCTGTTTACTTATTGCAGGCTTCATCTCCACATCAAATAAAATGCCAGGACGTAGCTTTCCAATTCTCTGCTTCCTCTTAAATATTCCCTATCTAGGAGGACTGAAAAGTCCACAACTGGCACAGAGATTTCCACAGAAATCATGCCAAGCCTTCGCTTTCCCAAGATGAATTCTTTTCTCCTTCTTAAAAAGCCAACAAGCAAAGCGTTCCAAAACCTCACCGTCTCTTTTGTCCCACATGGCTAAATCCTGATGTGCCCACAGAGCTTGTGGCCTGCCCACTAATTAATCCAAACAACCATTCTTAAAGGAAGGGCATCTTTAGTGCCTTCTTTTAAAAGTGCTTGTCAAGAGAAAAACTGATACTTCATTCTCCACCCTGCAGGCTCTCTTTAAAAAGCTTTTGCTCTCAGAAACTGGTCCCCACACCAGCTTACTTCCTCAACAGATGCTTTTTTTGGGTGGTTTTTTTTTTTTGTTGTTTTTTGGGTTGGTAAGTTATTAGATGGCAGGCAGTGCACTCAACAATGTTCTGCTGAATATTGTATATGTTTGTGGTGTTCTGGACATAATTACTAGCAAATGGAGACGGAAACAGATGGCTGGAAGCATCTGAGCTTTTCACACCTCATAGAAAATCAAAACCTGATGTTCTACTTTTAACAGAAAAGCTTAGAGATCAGAGTGGGAGGGGTTTTTTTGGGTTTTGAAGTTTTTAAAGTAAGCCTTGATCTACCTCTTCCCCCAGCTCAGTTCACACTTCTCTCTCTTCCCCCCTCATTCTTCCCAAGAGGTGCAACCACATGAGAAAATTAGACAGATGCAGGAAGAGAGTAAACTCTGAAGAAAGAAAAATGCCCTACCTTTACGACAAAAATAACATCAGAAATTCATAGAGGCAACTCCAGAGAGCCTCAAATAGTTTCAAAAGAGAAAAGTTTAGAAAGATATTTTAGATGGCAGAGATGGCTCTACCTCTAAGATAAATACAGCCCTTTCATGCCAGTATCTACTGGTCTGTTAAACATCAAGATTTCAGTGTGATAGGCAGACAGGCCCCTGACTCTCAAATCCTTGCAGTAGAGGTCAAATCCAGATCTGGATTCCTCTCCCCTGCTTCATTTTTGTCTATCAAACATAACCTTACTGTGGTGCAATCAATTAAAACAAATTCCCGAGCCCGAACGGGCAGAGGAAGTTTCTGCAGTAGCTGAAAGAGGAGCCTTCAGAAGGGTTTGCAGTGCAGGTAACTGAATAAACACGAGGCTCTGTCACCTCTCCCTCCTTGGCTGCAGGTGTTCCAGCTGCAGGAGTGCGACCGCATCACCATCCTGCGGAACTCGCTGTGGGTGCACTGCAATCAGCTCTCCCTGCAGTGCGTGAAGGACGACGAGGTACGGCCCTGCCAGGGACACCCACGGGCACGGGAGCAAGAGGAGGAGTGAAAGTGCTCCCAACAACAGCACTGGCCTGCCCTCATCTGCACGTGCTGACTGACTCCAGGGGAACATTTTCAATGGAGCTTGTTCTCCCTAGACATAAAGCAGATATGCAGTCTGTGCCACACTTAGTGACACCTGCGCGTCTCCCTCTCAGCTACCAGAACGCTCTGTCATAGAATCACAGAATCAACAGGGTTGGAAAAGACCTCCAAGATTATCAGGTCCAACCCTTGATCCAACCCTGCCGTGGTTCCCAGCCCATGGCACTGATGCCACATCCAGCCTGTCCTTAAACACCTCCAGGGATGGAGAATCCACCCCCTCCCTGGGCAGCTCATTCCAAGGGCTGAGCACTCTCTCTGTAAAAATTTCTTCCTGATATCCAACCTAAACCTCCCCTGGCACAGTTTAAGACCAAGCCCTCTTGTCAGGGAGCTGTAGAGAGTGCTGAGGTCTCCCCTGAGCCTCCTCTTCTCCAGGCTGAGCCCCCCCAGCTCCCTCAGCCTCTCCTCACAGCACTTGTGCTCCAGTCCCTTCCCCAGCCTTGTAGCTCTTCTCTGCCCCTGCTGCAGCCCCTCGACATCCTTCCCAAACTGAGGGGCTCAGAACTGGACACAACACTCCAGGGGTGGCCTCACCAGCGCTGAGTCCAGGGCAACAATCGCTGCCCTGCTTCCCTGATTGAACCTCAATGCTCAAGTATGTTTGGGCTCTGACATGGCTTTCAAAAAGTCATTCTGTCATGGTCTTAAGACTGGAAGACTAAGAATACACTAGATGTGACTCAGAATGGTTGTTTCCTGCTATTAATTTCTTTTTTGCATTGAAAAGCTCTGGACTTTTGTCCTCCTCTCTTAAGAGAATACCCAGAGCACAAATAAACAAGTGTGTTTACAGGAATGTTTGTATGGGGGACAGGCCAAAGATCATCCAGGTCCGACAGGTACCAAATATAAAGTGTCTCTTAAGGGGAAAATTGTTAGAAGAGCATTAATTATTAATTCAGTGTGAAATGTTAGAAGTTAAATGAGAATCCTGGATTCTGTTTTGCAGCTATACGAAGAGGTTCGGGTCAGCCTGGAGAACTGCGTGGTAGAGTCAGACATAGACTACTTCATTAAGACCAAAATGACAGGAACACAACCTCCAGGTAATTATTCCTGTTGGTCTTGTCAGGTCAGTTCCTCACCAGGCTGGGGCTGGGGTTGTGCAGTGCACGTCCTGTGGAGTTGAAAGCAGCTGGAGGAGTTTCTGCTCCGGCTCTTTGTTCTCACTTGCCGGGCTCACTTCCCCCTCGCTGTGCTGCCGTTGCACTAAGTGGGATGCTGGAACGATCCAGGTTAAAAATAACCCTCCAAAGAAGAAAAAAAAATGTCGTTTTGGCTTTGCAACCAGGCTCATTTCACAGTACAGCTGAACTGACACCTCTAAGGAGGTGGCAAATTGCTTTGCAGAGATGGCAACTTCAGTCTCCTGCAGCGGTGACAAGTCAGGGACAACTTATGATGTAACTGCACCCCGGTGTCCCCGTGACAGAGGTGCCACCTCCTCCTTTGCAGCACAGAGAAGACCCAACTTTCTCTTCTGTTCCACGTGTCCAATGGGAAATAACAACTTCTGTCCTCTCAGGAAGTTGTTTGTACAAGCCAAGCCTCTGGCTGGGGGAATGGCATTGGCTGTGCCCCAGCACACAGAAGTGCTGGAATTCTGCAGGGAAGGGCTGAAAGGTTCCCAGACTGTCCATTCTAACCAAGCAAGGATCAAAACCCCTGGGCTGGGTGGAGGCTGACCCAGCAAGAGGCAATAGCAATTGTAAAATGCCAACATGCTGCTCCAGGGTCGGAGTTCTCCAAACACACCCCCGGAAAGGAGCCTATCTCTGTTTCACAGCCAAACACACACCACACCCATGCACTTCAAAAAGAAATACAAGATAGTTCCAAACTCCTCCACTCCTGTGCAGCTGCTGCAGTAAACAAAGACTCAGCAGTTGTAAAAGGAGAGAAAAATGCCCATTTCACGTCTTCATTGGCCGATGACACGTGTCTAGTTGGAAAGATCTCCTCCTCCATTCTTGTAAGGTCTGTGCACAGATCCTGTTGCAGTTCCAGTGTCTGCAAGAGAAACTGCCCTCAGGAGCCCTCAGCACTGCCCACAGGGCAGTGTGGGGAATAAGCTATTCCTGCCAGCCAGAGTGGGGAATGAGCTATACTGGCCCAAAACACTTCCATCCTGACAAAACCCTTCCATGGGAAGAGTTGTATAGGTCCAAACATCAGCACTATGAAGGCTCATCCCAAGGGATAATCTCATACAAGAACAGCTGACACCCCTTTGATTTCACCACAGAGCTCAGAGCTGGCAGCAATCACACCCCAGGACCCTGCCCAGCAGAGCTGAATGCTGCCACTAACTCAGCACCGAGCTGTCTGAGGCCTGGTTTTCACTCAGCCTTTCTGACACTACACTTATGATGATTAAAATTGAGATTTGGGGATTTTTTTTTTAAACTAGAACATTGAAACTGGTGCACTGGATGCCATTTTGCTTCTATAGTTTATTCTTCTTCACAAAGGGGATTTCAATTCACCAATACAGGAGCATTTGCCCAGGGAAAATTACATTTTCAGTGGCAGAAGGGAGGACTGTGTCTTGCAACAGTGTGAAACAACTTCTGTATACCAAGAAATTTGTAATTCTTAGCTAGTTGTTTTTTTTTTTTTTTTTTTTTTCCTATGTGAGATTTCTCATTCTCCAATCTCCCAGGCAATTTTCTGCAAACAGTTCTTGGCTGTGTCAGGAGTCATTTCTAATAAGAAATAGGAGGTGAAAACCCCCTGAGAGCTTTATGAAAAGCGAAGAAAAACCTGATCTGCTTTTCTGTTGTTTTTATTTTGCCACCTTCTAGAAGGTGACATGTTCTGGAAGCAGTATCCTGGTATCTCCACAGCTCTGGCTAATGAGTTTGCACAGCAGCACATGGTGAGCTGTCCATCTGTGTTATTATTTGCCAAATGCAGCAGGAAACCCACGTGGTGTTGTTTTGTGTTGCGTGGCTGAAGAGCTTCATCCTGACCAAACCTTTTTGGATGCTGTTGCTCACTCCCTTCTTCCCCCTAATCTTACAATACCCTCTAGACTAGAAACTGCACCACGCTAACAATTTACAAGGGCAACAGGAGACCCTTAAACTGGTCAGAAAACTCCTTAATTACTGTGAGTCTTATTTGTAGGGATTCTTCCCACTCATTAGCTGTATGTGCCTGCTCTGCTTATTATCTTGGCTGACCCAGTGCAAGAATGTCAACACAACTTTAGCCCAAGTCCAATGTCTTTGTTAACTTGCTGCTATCAGGTCTGAGATAAAACAGTATCCCAGACTTCCCTCATGTTTGTTCAGCTCTGACACCGAGCAGGCAGGCAGCGTGTGGCCACCAGCTGCAGGCAACTATGGTGGGAGCTCGGAGATGAAAAATAAATAAATCCATCTGTAAAGTTAGAGTTGGAAATGGTCTCAACTTCACCCTTAAGGACACCGTAGGGGAGAGTGAAGGAAATGTAACATAACTGTGTTTGAGAGAACAAACCCCAGATATCTCTGAGTAAACAGCAAATCAGCTCTCAGGAGGCAGATGGGGGAGATAGGGAGGGGAACACACAAGCACAAGCACAGAGCAGGAAATTGCTCATTAATGCTGCTGGCAGGAACATTCAGAAATCTCCCCAACTCTGACAAAAATGCCTGACTCCGTACACTGAGAAAAAAACAGAAGCAAAACACGCTGCAGCCGATTCTACCAGGAAATCACTCCGAGGCTCGCAATGGTCACACTCTGCTCCCTCAGATCCTGAGCTTTAACACGACAGAAGAAACAGCCATGGAGGAAATTGCCTCCCTAACTCGGGCTGCCCACAGCTCTTAAATGGTGCTGCAGGACCTCGGCTGTGCTTGGCTCAGTCAAACCAAGCAAGGCCGTGCCTGCTCAGTCACTGCAGTGGCTTTTGTCAAGTCCCCAGGTGTCCCCCGAGCTGCTCCAGCCACATTCCAGGCGTGGGCAAAGAGATTTGCAAACTGGATTTGCAGTTTGCTCCAGCAGCCCCAGGCTGCGTTGTGGTGGGGAGAAAACAGGTGTGCCTGTTTGAACATCTCATTTTTATTGCCCTGTTGCAGATGCCATAGGCTACGAGAACTACTACAGCAGAGAGCCCAACAGACGCAACAGCAGCCCAACCCAGTCCTGTGGGATGATGAAGAGGTGAGTGGAAACTGCAGTTCCCAGAAGGGGGATTTCTCAGTGTGAACAGCAGTGTGTGATGACAAAAAACAGCACCTGGAAAGTGGTTGCTTCCTTCATTGTAGCGAGAGGCAGCTACGGATCAGTAAATAACTTGAGAGAAGTAGTAAATCCATGAAAACCCGAGTCAGAGCAGTTTGGCCTGGTGGGAAGAGTGACACAGGGTGAGTTCATCACACCATTAGTTGGCCAGGGGTGGAGAGCAGTCGCTGGTTTCCTCTTTCCCGGTGACTCAGGGCACGTAGCAACAAAACCACCTTGTTCAAGGGAGGCAAAGGTGAACCTGGCCAGGAGCAAAGGCTGGGGAGGGCTGTCCTTTGGGACAATCCCTCCTGGATTACAGCACTGCTCAGCTGAGCAGAACAAAGAGCTGCTCTCTGTATCTCAGCCAAGGGGGACAAAATAATAACTGTGATGATTAGGGAGGCTTTTATTCTTCTGATCCATTTCTGCTGGTAAATGTCGGAACATGGATGTAGCTACACCAGCAGAAGAGCATGGTGGATCTCTTGGTTTAAATATTTTTTACTGAGGTGGCTGATTCCCAGTGGGAATGGCATCATAGTTAAAGCATGAGAAATTTATGTCGTGACAAGCCTTATGACGTGGCAAAGACAGGGAGCAGGCTGTGATCTGCCAGTTAAAATGTGGTGCAGGTTGGTCAGGGAGCTGAGCAGGGCTAATACACAATACTTTGTTTTTCTGCTGAAAACTGGACCTTCTAAAATAATGAATTCAATGCTGCATCCCATGCAGTTACATAAGACAACTGTATTGCCATTTAGAACACAACTGTGCTCTGCAGGGGCAAGGAGCCTAGAGAGACTCAGTCTGAGTTTTTCAGGAGCTGTGGAGTCAGGATATCCATTTTCCAGACATATCGAGTGTTCACTACCTGAAAAAATCAGACTGTTTAAATGTGCCTTAAGCATGCACTGCTATTTCCATCTCTGCTTGAGAATCCTAACCCATTTCCTCACTTTACTTGGTCTCCAGTACCCAGCTGTGATACAGGAAATAACTAGGGATAGATTAAAATAAAAATTCACTTAAACTCACAGTTTTCAGAAAGGCTCGTTATACAAGCCCTGTATTTTAAACTGTAGCAGAGTTTTCCTTAAACACAAAGATATGTTAACCTCTTGAAAACTGACAATTCTCCTGGTATTAACATTGTGAAATCACAGGAGTTTCACACTCTGAGTCTTTGGATCCACAACAAAATACCGTCCTGCTGCATTTTATGCACAATTTAGTGATGGCTGATGGTTCAGTATTCTGCTGCACTTTAAAAAAACCACATTTCTAACTGAAGATAAATATATCTACAGCATAAATGAAAATAGAAGGCCATGGGAAGAGGTGACATCTATTCAGTGTGAAGCAGATGGAGGAAAGGCTGAGTCAGAGAGCTGAGATGAAGGAATGCTCATACCCAGGCCTGTTCACTCATTTTGTCACTGGCTTCTCTTGGTTCTGCAGATTCTCGGGACTACTGCATGGGAGCAGCAAAAACCACACGGAAATTGCCACTCCTTCAGCCCCTCCTCTGGGTATGACTCTGCAGGAAATCAGTTTACCAGATGTATTTGGTTTGGATCATGTTGCTAAATCAGGCTTTGACATAGGGCACACGTTGTACAGCAGATAATTCACATGGTGGTGGTCAAAATATTCCGGAAATGAATTTCGCTTGGATGTGTATTAAACAAATTTCCCAGTTTCAAGCACCAAAGAACCCACAGAATCTTCCAAACCTCCATCTGGGCAAGGGGGGGACTGCACATCTGACTTAGATATTGGTTTTCTCCTTGTGTGGAACACACTACCTCTAAAAAGCCCAAGAGGACACATAAAGCTTTTAACAGACCAGGTTTATGCTTTATGAATGCAAATATCTCATCTAACACCTACACTGTTGTCTTGTAACCCTTACAACCCTAGAAATGTATCAGATGATATTTAAAACACAATATTTTTGGCTTGGTGGAAAGTAAGGGCTTAGGGTATTTTTATTGGTTTGATATTAAATAAAACCATTCTAACTGTGATTCAGACAGTGGGAAGAAAACAAAAAGTTGTTTTAAAACAACAGCTTTAAAAGCAACTGCCTCTGTCAGGCCTGTCTGCTTGGGCACCCAGAAACAAAGCCCAGACTATCTCACTTTGCTGCATTTGCTGCTCAGCAGGGGAAGCTCCCAGACAGATGCTGAGAAGGAACAAGAGTTTGCCCTGATTACAACAAGCTGGATTAAACCAAAACATCTGCAAAGAAGTTATGTCCGTGACAAATAGCTATTTGAGAACTCTATAAACCACTCAAAGATGTCTGGTGACCCACTGGTACAGGGTTTTCCCTTTTTCTCCAGGCAACAAGAAAAGTCCTGTGTGAGTCCCTGAACTGCTACGATTTTATACCCCCAGTAGCGACCATTTTAAATCACAGCATTGCCCTCCTTGGACCGTGTTTTAACCAGGGTGAACGTTTTTTCCCAACCTGGATGAGGCTAAAGCCACTTTCTGACCTCCCACCAAGCTCAGTGGGTGTATTGTCATCTCATCAATGGGGGGAGAGTTTCTGTGCAAGGCTTTACCTACAGTTCACAGCAGCTTTTCTAGACATGTGCATCTCCAGGCAGAGAGAGAACAGAAAGCCTTGTATTTGTGAAGTCTTGCATGTGATCCCACGCATTTATAAGCAACTGAACTCTTTGTTTCTGTGGTGGGTATTTTTTCCTCATTTTTTCTCCCCCCCCCAGCAGAGAGAACAGACGGAGTCTACGCTTCCATTTTTGTAAATGAAGAGGCTGGGATCACATCATCACAGGACTACAGAGTGCTTTATGACTACACAGCCCAGGTAAAACAAGGCTTCAAAATAAATACTTCATAGCATCAGATTAAAAAAAAAAAAAAGATGCTGGTTCAAACATCTTGAAAGTGTTAATTCTGTGAAGGAGATGTTATTGTCACTTTAGAGCCATGACTTTTCCTGCTCCACTGGCTCTCCATGCTGGAGAGGGCTGAATCCCTACAAATGACACTCTTTTCCTACACCCCCATGTTGCAAGTTGCAGAATCACAGTGGATATGGTTCATCTGTCAAAGGATTGTTACAAAGAGCAACCTGCATCCTTGACTGGAATATTGAACTCTCACTGACCTCACTCCTAACTAGGCACAGCACCTTCAGTAAGAGGTGAATGGACCACTGTATTTACTAATTCAGATGGACTCCAGAACCTGGACTCCAGCCTGCTGCTTTACTTGTCAGTTTAAGGGTTCCCTTTATTAGCTTCAGGTTAACAGAAGGAACAGCATCCAGGAGGTCTCATACGAAATAGAGAGCCATATAAATAACAAAAACAGACAAAGGCTCAAAAGGAGCACTTTCTCTTAGGTACAGCAGTATTCCAACTCCTTTTATTAGATTATATATATTTTTTTGGCTTTGTTTTATACACTCTTTTATTATTTACTGGAATTTCATCCAAGAACAGCTGAAAGTACCTCACTGTCAAAGGCAGTTCCCCTGAGGAGACAAATGGATCACTTTGTGAGATCCTTACTCTGAGAGTTACCTTAAAAGTGTGACACACACGGATTTTCCCTGCTGAGAAAAGAGCCTGTTACTACCTTTAGTATATTGTACATTGAAACCCCTCATCTTTTGAGTCCATTCTTACCCACTCAGGTACATTAAATTTAGTTTTAGCTGACACGTCAAAACATCTCTGGAAGCCTCTCTTACCCTGCTTTCTATTTTACTACACTGCAGGCAGCAAAGTGGTTTCCTATGGAAAATAGGACAGCAGGGACTGATGGGCTGCCTGGGAGCTCAGGGAGAGCTTTCCTGCAGCTCTGCATTTGTGTGGGGGCTGAAAGTCACCGCTGTTGGGCAGAGTCGCTGTGTCTGCACTGGTCACTGCTGCTCCCATCTAAAAAAACTGGGAGACCTATTTAAGGCATGGATTAACAGAGATACTGTTATCTCCCTTGGGAATTAAGCTGTGCTCTGTTTTATTTAGCAACACCTGCAGACTGTGCAGGTCATGGTTAGCTGCTTTAGGACGGTTGTGTTTAACCCCTTCTGGCCTTTCCCGGTGTTGTCAAGTTGCACAGGAGGAGACCCCTGGAGAGGCTGGGCAAGTGTGAGATCTTAAGGGAACAGCCAAAATGCTTAATTCCTCACAGTCTGGTATTTCAGGCTCATTCCAAGCAGAAGGACACCAGCAGACTGTTGATGAAGGGCAGGATTAAAGAAATCCCACCACATACATGCTTGGGCCCTCCTGTGCTCTCAGGGTAACCACAATTTTTTTCCCTGTCTCCTTTCAGAACACGGATGAACTGGACATCAGCGAAGGAGACGTTGTAGTGGTCATTGAAGAAAACGAGGATGGCTGGTGGACAGCAGAAAGGAACGGGCAGCGAGGCTTTGTGCCAGGCTCTTATCTTGAAAAGCTTTGATGAAAAGAAGCCCCAGCCCTCAGACTTTAAAAACATTCTAGTACTGAAAACACCCTGCACACAAGGTCTGCTTCAGCTGACCAAGGGCATCCCATAATACTGTTTTCTACAACTACCAGTCAGGAAATAACCAACTGACCGTGCTCTCCTCTTCCTTGCTCCTACCCCATTCCAGCATCTCCTGGCCTGTGCTGTCTGCAAAATCCATCTTCAGCCCTGAGAGATCAGGACTCGCTTTTCTTAGCCTGGTTCTGCCCCCCTCAGCACACTGTCCTGCCAGCAGTGTCACACAGCTCAGCGAGCCTGGGAGGAAAATCCTGCTCACACCTTCACTGCACCAAAGGAAAAAGGGGATGGAGCCAAGTGCAGTTTCTGCAGGATGGAGGACTGTCCCCAGCCAGCCTGGGAGCCACCCCCATGGCCACAGCAGCCACGGATCCCCTTCTCTCCCTGCACAGGTCGTGCTGGCATTTTTGACAGTGCACTGACTTCTTCATCAGGGTCGCTGATGACCACAAGAAAATCAGTGAATGCAGCTAGAGAGGAGCACCTGAAGGACAGAGGCACATCTGTAGTAAGGAAACTTCAGGCACTCCCCCATCACAGCTATCTCCTAACACAGTGAAATCCACACTCCCCATGGCTCTGCTTTGCACTGCATTCTGGACAGATGATAAGCCCAAGGCCTTGGTTGAGGGTTTCCCTAACACCTCTCTGGGATTTTCCAGTTTAAAACCCCAACAACACAAACAACAGATAAGCCAAACCTCCAGCAGTGCTGCATTGCCCCGACCCCTCTCTGAGCACCAGAGGATTGCCAGTTACCTCCTCACACAATCTGCATCCCAGTGTCATCAGGGCATCCTCCCTTCCACCTGGCTCAGCCTCTCCTCTCCTGCTCAAAGGCTTCTTTGTCTCCTACTGCTCTCTCCAGCCTCTGCATCCCTGGGATTGCTGGCACTGTCACATCCTGGCTCCTTGCCAGGCACTTTGTTCTTCAACAATCCCTCTTCCCAGAAGTCACACTGTGCAGGTATTTCACAGATTTCAGCTCTATCAGTCTTTCTAGTTCAGTATTTAAGAATGTCACTGTGCTTACCGAGGGATTGATGGATGGTTTCTGCCACTCTTCCCTTTTCAGTATTTCAAGATAGTTAAAAAAAAATAAAAGTAATTGATTTAATCTGAATCAGAGTGAAGTGTTTCTGGGGGCAGAACGACCCTCTTTGCCAAGGTTTCAGGTCTTAAAACTGCACCAAGACAATGAAAATTAATCGAATTGCTACCCAAAAGGCATGGAGCAGGGAGGAACTGTTAGCTAAGACATAGCAGGAAAGACAAAGAGAAATTTAGACAAAAGAAAAAAGCTGTAATGATCAATGCAATTATTCCTTAAATGAAGCACAGTGAAGGTCAGAGGCACTTGCAGTACCTTATTCTAATTCTTTCTTCAAGAATGGCATAGCAGTTGCTGCAGGCCCTTTCTTCAGCTCCCTACAGTCCTTTGCACTTGTCCTTGCCACACTTCCCAAAGTTATTATGCAGCACATCCAGAGCAGTGCTGAAGGGCTCCCAGGACCTGGCACCAGCACAGGCTGGAAGGCACAGGAGGAGCTGGAATGGCATTTCAGGCAGCAGTGTTGGAACAGCAGCCCAGGCTGAGGAGGTAATGACAGCTTTGGCTGAACTGCCCAGTGATTGAAGGTGCAGAACAACCTCCAGCCTGGCCAGGGCACTGCCAGACAACTGCAGCATCACTCCTTAGCTGCAGCAAGAGAGGAGACCTAAAGCATGGCAGATTTTATGTATTTACTTCCTGAACACTCAAAAGAGAACTGTAATAAAGCAACAAAGAAGTTTAGGTAGGTATTTTGCAGGTTATCTTAAATAAGCAGAAAAGTATAAACCACTGAGATGCACCTCCTCTAATTCTGTGTGACACGGGGATTTTGCAAGGATTCCTCACCTCTCTGGGGGCCCAGACAACCTTACACAAGACACTGCAGTGCCCAGTCCTGATTACCCTGAAATCCTATTACAGATTATCTTTGCTTCCATGTACCACGTGGTCCACATCACCAACAGACTGACAGTGGAACGGTGACTGCTGTTTCTAGCCCATCAAATCATTCCCTGTGTTTGCTGTTAAGGTCAGGAAACTCTTTTCCTTTCTACCTCTCTCTTCTTCTGTCAAATAAATACTGTTGAAAGGCAAGAGGCTACAGGTGTTTCAAAATCTACCCAGTGCCATAGCATTTGGGTGCCACGTGCTGACTCCAGACTGTTGAGGAAACAAAAAACCACAGCAGCAATGTTTAATCATGAATCCTCTCCTCGTGCAGATACAGCCTGGTAGCTACTTATCACCCCAAATTCTTCTGTTTGCCCTATCAGTGAGGCAGCACTTGTCACAAACAGAACAGATACCAAGAACTACCCACACCCTCTGAGTACACCCACATTTGAGGTGTCATCCACCCACCCTCACCAGTAGGAAATGCAGGAAGGTCAATTGTACGTTAATGCCATAATAATATTGCCTTATTAACATTCCTCTCCAGTTTGGTAAAATTCAGGCAACCAAATGAACACAATCCAGTTATCATTCAATTTTCAGCTAAGATGGGAAACTGAAACGAGCCCTCTCGAGGGGAAGGCATTCTTATATTGAATTCCAACAGTTTTGGTTAAAACTCTCCTTGGACAAACACTTCAGGTAAGTCTCCACTTTCATTTTGACCACCGTTTTTTGGCAAGGAGGTGCCAAGCAGCACAAAGGACAAAAAAGGTTTGTTTGCCATGTGAATTACCCACAGCCTGTGACCAGTATGTACAGACAGACAAACTAATTAAAGAGAAGCTACAAGCAAGTTAGTGAGCTGTTTATGACTTAGCACTGCAGGACTTCAGTTTGTTAACTCTAGAAATTTTGACTGGGCTGTAAGAAATAAGCATCATCCATCCATTAAATATGGATAATTAGATGGACTTTGGATTTGAGGAACATGCTCGTGAGAGTGACACAAGAAAGTATAGTGGTAATCTGTTCTATTATTCCTTAAACCATAACAGCAATGCAAAGATTGGAGTAGGCAGTTCAACCCAACAGTACCTTAAACCACGCTCAGACACGTGTATTGTTCTCATTTACCACATTACTGTCAACGAATGAGAAGAACAGGAAAATCTGTGTAAAATAACACTTAACCAATGCCAACCATACATAATTAGGACATGTCTGCCAGAGCAGTGTGAGGCCCATCTCTGCACAGGACACATTTCAGCTGCTGCACGTGGCACTAAGAGCCCACAAGCCAGTGGCAACAAAATAGTATCAGACAAGAAACAGAGATCCAAGAGGTCCAGCTCTAGGACAGCCAACAGAGTCAGTGCTCAGCCACAAAGAAGGGGCCTCCTGTCAAGCTCACAGGTCTGTACAGCCATCCAACTTCCAGCATTTCTGGCAACTTAAAGGAAGGAATCAGCCCTTCCCAGCAGAGCAGTCAGCAACAGGAGCACAGTGACTGGTCACTGGAGTGTTTGTCACCACCCCAAGGCCCCTGGCTCGAGCTCTGCAGTGTGAATATCCCCAGCATCCATCAGCCACAGTGGTCACAGATCACATACATAAGTACATATATATAATATAATCATGACATAAGTATATAAGACACAAAAAGTAGCAGCTCTTACCTTGGATTCCTTCTCGTCTTGCTTCCTCAAGAGGTGCACTCAAGGTCTGAGTCTCCCTTCCAGAGGTAATTTTGTCCCAGTTGCAGCTCATACCTCACTGATTGCTGCATGCAGTGTAAGTGGAAGCACATGGGTGCCAAGAGGAGGTGCATTGCAAGCCAGGCATCAGGTGGTGTCTAATAGGAGCTTGGCTGGGCATTAAGAAACATCTCACCTGAGCAATGGTGGGTAATCTACACACTTGGTGGTATGATGTTGCCTCTTGGCAGTACCACTGTGCAGGATCAGAGAGCTCAGGTACATCACTGCTACACAAACAGTCTGCTGCACTGGAGAGTCACTGTTAACCTTCAGTGTGGAGCAGCAGCAACTCTGCACAGCACAAGACAAACTGTGAAGGCCTGAAAAGCAGCCTTGGCTGCTCAACACCATCTCTTTTCCCTGGCTTTCCTGTTCTCCAGCCTGCAGGGCTGGGGCATTGAAGGGAAGAGCAGTTGGCAGCCACAAAGCTACCAGCACTTCCCATGTCCTCAAAGAGACACTACACTCAGGGCTACTGAGCAAGGAGAGCAGGAAGATCCCCTCAGCTTGATCTTCCCCCAAAGATCCACATCTCCTTGCTGCCATGGGTTATGGGCACAACCAAGTGGCCAAGTCCTTAAAGGAAAGTTAATAAAACAAACAAAAAGCAGCAATAGGATCAGTCACTACCCTTCACCAGCTTCCTAAATTAATGCCAGTCCCCCTCACCAGTGTCTCTGCAGTGCAGCTGTGATGTGTTGGGCACACTCACTGGAGCTGAGGGTAAAGGAGACAGAACAGTGGGGTTTGCTCCCCAGGGAGAGGAGGAGACAATGTTGTGATGCTGAGGGACACTGGGCTTCTGAAAGTAAATGGCTGCTAAGGGGCTGCAAGGGCTGCTGGACTGGGTTTCGTAGGGGGAAGGATACTTGTGTGGAGAAATTAGATTTTGGAAGAGGAACTGGAATTAGTGTCCTGCCTATGAGTAGATTATCAACAGAATGACAATGCCCCATCCACTGGGAGAAAGCAAAGAACTCCTAGTCAAACTGTTAGCCATTATCTGTTCTTTGTTAGCAATTACCTAATTTCAGCAGCCAGCTCATTTTGGATGAGGGAAGCTCAGAGCCACCGTTATCTCCAGATTTGTGCACTCCTGCATCCCGCAGAGTGCAAATTTGATCTGTTTCTAGAATGGCTGGATAATCATATTTCCATCAAATTAGCCAGTACACATGGTACAGTGCTCAACTTGTCCTTCCACCAGCTGCTAAAGGACGGCTGACACCTGATCTGGCACAAAGCTGCGGGGGCACCGTCAGGAGAACATTTACAGCCCATCAGTGCCTCATGGCTCGGGTCCCACACACAGGCCCCAAAGGCAGAGTTACTGCGTTGTTCTATTCTGACTGAAAGCACAGACTGAATCTTGCTTTTAGATGTAAAACTCGAACAGAAATCACTGAAACCTCCCAGCAAAATCGGTAGAAATCAGACTTTACATCCCTGAAATTTCTAAGGGGAAAGACAAAATCCTCTGAACCCACCAGGTGGACAGAACACAACGTAGAACACAAGTACCACTTTATAGCTGGGGGTTCCACGTCACCTTGAGGATAAAGAGGATACAGAAACAACTGCGGGGTGCGGGTGAATTGGGAACAGAAATCCTAAGGTATCTCAGGATCTTTGAAGTGAGGAGGAATTTTATTTACTATATCTAAAAGAGCCAGTGTTGAATAGATTCGAAAAAACAAACCAGCACATACATCCCCAGCTTTGGTGGCCTTACCAGGATTCAGCTAAACCCCAAATAAGGCAGGCATAAAGAGAAATAACCCGTGTGTTAATGGGTGCAATACCGAATGAACTACAGCTGCATCAGTGGGGCTTTGACTTGAACTCTGGCTGCAGTTCGAGCATTTGCCGCAGCCCCTGCCGGAGGGTAAATGGATTCACAGCAGCGGCTGAAGACATTCCAGCCTAAACTTGAATGAAATTTCCTGAGGGAGGGATTACACACTTGGATTGTTCAAACAGCCCTTGAATGAATGAATAAATAAATAATTGACTTTGTGAAGCGAAGGTACGACTGGAGAAGTCACACCTCAGTTTTCATCGCGGGGAGCTTGTAACGCACTCTGATGTCAGGAGCTGAAAATTCTCCTGGCACACATTTTGGTGATTGTTCAATCCCAGACGCCTCTAAACAGGCTGCCATTGGGTGGTGGTCAGATCAATATTTGCAAAGGAAGATCTTGTGCAAAGGGACAAATGACACTGTGTACACAGCGCTTGTTTTGCAATAGGACTGGATGGCTCTCAGGAAGGGGTTGCAGATTGAGATGGACACACTCAGTGTAGGGAGCGGGTGTGGGGGGGGCACAATGCATTCCCTTCCGCTCTGCAAGGGCACAAACGCTCAACAGCTGCATCTAAAGAAGAATTGTTCAGAAATTTTAAGCCGAAAACAGCCCATGGAGGAACTTCTTGGGAAACTGGTGAACTTTAACCTTGCCAGGAT